ATTCACAATAAAAATACTATTCGATATTGAATGACAGAGCATGTCTCGAAATGTTGTTAAACACACTAACCTAGCTTGCCATACTTCGGTTGTTTATTAAGAGAAAAAGTAATTAAAAGAAAATAAAAGAATGTACTTTTTAATTTAACTAACATTATCGCAGTGAGCTGTAAACAATCAGGCACACACACACACACGCAAACACAGACACATACACACAAAGGCAAGTTCTTTGTTTTTGTACATGTGATTTAAAATCTTAGAGATCGTTTGAGAGTTTCCAGTCGCCATTAATGCTTTGGTTTCATCATGTGACTGACATCTTTCATTGAATAAACGAAACTAAAATATGATTTCCGCCATATTGAAACTTAATTTTGTTGCGAGTGGTAGACATTTAAACACAAAGCAAGGATCACGTGAAGTAAACGATATTCTCGGAAACACCTTTGGGGGGAAATAATTACAAATTAGATCGTTATTCATGTTGAATCAGGAATTCTCAACCGGGGGAGGGATTTCCCCCCAGGGAAGCATTTCGGGGCGGGGAGGGAAAATCTTTTATATTTTTAAAAGTTTCTCATTGTCTGCATTCTTTATCAGAATAACATCGATTTAAATACCCTGACCTTTTATTGGACATTTTCTTTATTAAATTACAATACCTGGGCATTCTATTTAACTTTCTGTTTATGGAAGTATGCTTAAATTTATTTATTTAATAATTATTTAAGAAGGCTAAGAAAATTACTGTACATGTATTCAAGTTTAAAAATCCATCAACATTTTCTATTGCTATTAAATTTGTAAAACTCCGCTATAAAAATAATCCATGTAAATGTATGTCAGTAAATCAGTTAAGTACCATACATGATACAAGCTTGGGCAATCATGTCTCTTACGATTCATGACTGACTAGGCAGACGATCTTTCTGCGATAGGGAGTAATTCCTTTTTGCAGTAGACTGGTTGCTAACCAAGATTATAAAACCCAGTCTCTCCTGCTACTCAACCCATAGCTGGGGGAGAAGAACGGATTTATAACTTTCGTAAAAGTATTTGCGCGTGAGTGAAAGTAAATAAGCCGACTGGAATTCGAACACGTCTCTCTGAGTTTTCATACCGAGCCGTTACTCATTATATCATACCACACACCCCCAAAAAGAAAATAACGAAGTTTTTCAATAAATATGCATATTATTTGGAATGCACCTTTTGAATGGGACGATTTTGGAAAATTAGGTGGGGGGGATGACTTTTGGTGTGAAGCGTGCGTTGGACAACAACAACAACAACAAAAATAAAATAAAATGAAAGGCTGAGAACCACCGTGTTTAATTAAAATATTTTCAATTTATTTGACCTGACAGGGAAGCTATATCTATTTGGTGAGGATGTTCGAATAATCCAGAATTTATACTGGGAGGAAACCGGATGGAAAACGAATTAGGCAGGTACACAAAAATAGAAAGGGGCATAAGACAAGGGTGTGTCTTCTCGCCGGATTTATTTAACCTCTATAGCGAGGCTATCCTAAGAGAGCTGGAGACGCTACCAGTATTTATTATCGGGGGAGGGGTGCAATCTTAGCTATAAAAGATACACAACTGTCACTGTGTCGATGGCAGAAACAGAACGACAAGTTCTAGACAAGGTAGTAAAGGAGAGCGGGAAGAAAGGACTATCAATTGGATCACGACACAATGTGTGGTTGTCGTAAATAGCAAAAACTCATGATACGAACTAAGATTGGAGAATTTAAAAACAAACAATTACAAAAATTTAAATATCTGGGAAATGTTTTAGCAGGTGACGTGATGTCGAAATCCGAAGGCTCATTGTAATAGCAAATGATGCCTTCCAAAACTAAGCAAAGTATCAAGAAACAGGAAAATGTCGTTATAAAGACAAGAGTATTGAAATGTTATTTAATATCAATTCTCCTATATAATACTGAATGTTGAATAAAGAACTGCCAGTTATGTGCCATGCGTGATACACGCTTAGGCGATCATTTATCTTTCGATACATGACTGACGAGGCAGATTTTTTCCGCAGTAGGTTGACATTTCTTTCTGCGGTAGACCAGTTGCCATCCAAGGCTATAGAACCTGGTAGGCCCTGCTATTTACCCATATCTAGAGGGAGAAGGAGATGATCCATACTTTTCCCAAGGGTATTAGCACGTAAGTGAATGTAATGGATTCGACTGGAATTTGAACTCGGCTCTCCAATTCCCCATTTACTCCACCGTGAACTGCTGGACAATTTTCTCACAGATGAAGATGGCTTTAAATAACCTGAAAAAGTATTAGCTGTAAAAAACATATAAATCAATTATATGGGAAGCCATATATATATATATATATATATATATATATATATATATATATATATATATATTACGTTCACATCACATTAAAAAACACCGGTTAAGCAACGTTGAGCCTGGTCAGTACTAAGATGGGTGACCGATTGGGAATACTAGATGTTGCAAGCCTGGATATGCCTGTGGTATAAAGTTAGTAGAACATTTATTAGTGAAATCACTATTATCTCCAAAATAATTCTTATAATCTAAAAAGTATTTCTGGCTTTAAATAACCTACAAAAGGTTGATAAGGCGTAAAGCAATATCAAATCAATCATATACGTATTGGCTTCCCACCTGAAACTACGTTAAATCTTTTAACTGTAGGTAAATATAAATACGTAAGACACGCCTACGCACTCTGGCCACGTCAGGAAGATATACAGATAACGTTTGGTCATGTAAACTCAGTAACATTTTCCTTACATATGAAAGCAGAAGGCCAACTAGCATTGATGGATGTACTAATAACCCACACGTCGTATCGATTCAAGATATCCGCATATTGTAAGCCAACATTCACTGAATAATACATGATCGTCCATCCCACCATCGAAGAGTGGGGATCGTCCGCGACCTTACAACATCGAGCCAAAATGATGACCCAGACACATGCCAACAGGGAATGATCCGCATAAGAAAAAAATCCTTCAAGTTAACAGCTTTTTGGGTATCTAAACGTGGTGTAATGGCTAACAAGCTTGTCTCGCTAGAAGAATTACGACTGAGCAGTAAGTTCGATCCGCACTGGGTGGAACCATACTTTCGTCCTTGTGTCCTGTTGATTTTCTAAGTATTAAGGGCTTGTGCCCTGTTGATTTTCTAAGCGTAGCACTTCGACGAGGTGTAATGGCTAGCAAGCTTGTCTCGCTAGGACAATTACGACTGAATAGTGATTTCGATTCTTCCTGGGTGCCCCGTATTTTTGGCCTTGTGCAACATCTAAGCTACGCTTGGAAAATCACTATATATTTGGGTACCCCGCGGCCTTGTAATGGTTAGCAAGCTTGTCTCGATAGGTCAGTTATTACTGAAAATGTGCTATGCTTAGAAAATCATTGGGCATCTCGGGGCGGTGTAATGGTTAGCAAGCTTGTCTTGCTAGAACAATTACGACTGAGTAGTGAGTTCGATCCTCACTGGGTGCCCTATACTTTCGGCCTTGTGCCACATCTAAACTGCGCTTAGCGAATTACTATAACATATGCTTTTATGATGAAGAGTCGATAACAACAACGAAAAATCTACCGCTGTCTGTCTATCATAAATGATTCAAAGACTTCAAATAAAACATTCCTTTAACTCTAGATATATACATAAAACAATCTATACATTCAGTTAAAAGTAAAAATAAAATCATCTTTGATAATGGCTAAAATGGCATATATATATATATATACTGTAGGTATTTAGACAGCATTTTTTCATTAATGCATGTTTCATTAAATAATATAGACAAGTTTTGCCTATTTATTTTAAACAAATTCCTTTCATGTCTGATAAGCTTAATAACATTATCATTGAAAGACGAAAGAGAATCATCATATTGATACATGTTTTTTTTTATCCTAAGCTTTCGGCTTACATAAGCCATCATCAGAAATGAAAAGTACATTACACTAAATTAAACAATACACTGACATAGCAACAATAATTATGTTGGTCACACCACAAACTCGCTTTCACGACGCTTGACACTACATTTGAATGAAAACTCTAACATTTTTAGGCATTTAAAACAACATGCTTGGCCGCATACACAATTCCAGAAGATCCTCGTTGAAAACACAACTATACTGAAACATGAAAACAATAAACAAAAACTAAAAATTCTTGAAGCTATATACATAAAACAATTGAAACCTAACCTGAACAAAATAAACTATGAAATCTCCACAAATATTCTTAAATGCCTATAATTGATAACAGAAGCCATTGGTTTATACCAACGGCTTCCCATACTTAACATTTCTCGTTTTCACTCTCGCGTGGTTATGCGGGATGTCATGGGCCGTGGTGCGATTTTCGCTTCCAGCGGCTCGTATGCACGAGTTTGTCGTTGCTTGGAAATCTTCCATGCAAACAAAACAGTCTATCATTGTTGCTATGTCCGTGTATTGTTTAATTTATTGTATGTACTTTTCATCTCTGATAATGGCTTATGTAAGCCGAAAGCTTAGGATTAAAAAACATGTATCAATATGGTGATTTTCTTTTATCTTTCAATGATAATGTTATTAAGTTTATCACACGATATGAAAGGAATTCGCTTAAAATAAATAGGCAAAACCTGTCTATATTATTTAATGAAACAGACATATATATATATATATATATATATATATATATATATATATATATATATATATATATATATATGTGTGTGTGTTAAATAATTTAGGAAAATTATGCATTACATCGAAGTCTTGTGGAATCTGCATGTTAAGGTACTGCTCAAGAAAGGTAGCTGCAAAATCATATACCACATTCAGTTCGTGCGCTATTCAAATTCTTCAAGCTTCGCCAATGCATCTTCCCTGTCTTTTTTGTCTTCTTTTGAAAAACCGTTCTCCAACAAAAAGACTATGCGCTCTGGTGTCTGTCGTTGTCCGCCCACTGCGTGTTGTGCATGCGCAGATTCCTATTCTCCCACAGGCGAAGAGAAGGCCAAACTTTTGTTCTGAACAAAGCAGCACCTTTCGTTATGTCTTTTGAAACTTCTATTGTAGGCTCTCTGCCATTACACCGCCATCTTTCTCCTTTACAGCTTCTCGAGAATTTGCATTCGGAATTTGTTATACGTGTGTGGGCATCAATGCGCCCGGCGCACGCATGCACATGAACCCAAAATGAAAAGAATGAGATTTTGATAGCGGGTGATTTAAAAATTAAAATATTGCTGTCTGATCGATTGATTGAGTGATCTATCTATCTATCTATCTATCTATCTATCTATCTATCTATCTATCTATCTCAATGAGTTCATATCTTTCTTTCTCAATGAGTTCATATCTTGCAATCTGTGTTCATATCTATCTATCTATCTATCTATCTATCTATCTATCTATCTATATCAATGAGGAGTTCATATCTTTCTTTCCCAATCAGTTCATATCTTGCTATATGTGTTCATATCTATCTATCTATCTATCTATCTATCTATCTATCTATCTATCTATCTATTCCAGTTTGTTTCTTTCCATAAAGTACCCCTAAAATTCCCACGAACTACACAAGAATAAAGCCGAAGAATACAGCAGACGAAAAGTTGCGTTTAAAATAACAAAAGTTAAAATCCGAAAAAAATTCGTTATGAAAGAGAATCGTCAATCACATAGCTTAAGAAATCAATATATATATATATATATATATATATATATATATATATATATATATATATATATATATATATATATATATATATATATATATATATGAGTATAAAAAGTTAGATCAGAACCAAGGTAGCAGAATCGGCTGATTTACTAACTTGTTTATACTTAAAAGCTCTGCATGCTAAATGTTTATGTTTCTATATGTCTGTTTTTGATATTACTGTTTCCTGTTCTAA